GTTAAAGTTTCGTCGGAACGAAGTTACGGAAAGTTAATTAACAAACGGAGACGTAACAATATCAAGAAATGCTTAATACTCAATTCCAATAACAACGTAGCGGAATTAAGTCAAAATTATAGCGTATTGCTTTAATAAATATAATAAATTGAACTGAACAAAATATTATCAATAAACTATACATATTAACATTACTCTCGAGTTACCATGGACATTTCCATTTGACCAAAACTCTGCAAACCAGAGAAATTGTCAATATACGTGAGTATATTTGAAACCGAAAGAGTACAAAAAGGAACAGAAAAATATACAGACTAATGAATAAACTACTATCACGTCAAGATTAAATCTAATAAAACAGATTTCAACAAGTGTTATGTGTAAAATCTTTCTGCTCTGTGGTGGAATGGACTGTATGTCGATTAACATAGTTTGTACAACTATAATTATGTGTATATTTTTATGTCTCAAATTGAAGTCTGGTTCAAATATTCAGTCAGGATAAATAGACCTGCTAGAAATTAATTACGTACTGTAAGGCTCTATTCTTGTATTTTGAACATCGCTGATACCATCCACTAAGTGATCCTTCTTATACCAAATGTTGACACGTCCGGTCATACTCTATTTGATGACTATGCATCTTGACAATAGCTCTGCAGCATAGCTTCTATTGCAAAAGGCTCCATCATAAGGTTGTCATGTCCAAAGTATTCCCATTCTTCTTTCTATCTTTCTATAGTCCATCTACTGTACGAGGACAATGGCTTCAAAGTGCCTGTTTCAACAGTCTGATCACATAAACATCCATAGATACTGCGACTGGCGACTTGATTGGTATTTCTTCTTATGAAAAAAACACGAATATCCGTTTCATTATCCAGCTATTTGAGATATGCGATAGCTGAATAAATGCTTAGTGGAAGCAACTTGTGATAACGTATTTTAATGTCACTTTTCTAGATGGAGATCCTTCTTAATTATGTTGCATATTGTTGCCTGGGACATGTGGTCGGATTTTGTCACTGACCTTTGTGTTCGTTAACTCTCACCTGTTACAAGAAACTATATTTTACTTCCTACGGCTGGGGTTCGACTTGTTGCAGATCTCTTTCCTTCTGGTCTTGGTATCTGAAGTTGATTCTTATTCCTTTGTTTTCCAATGTCATTAAATACAAGGGATATTCCGTCTTTAAAAGTTCAGATCCACGATCTGATAACATATTTATGATCCGAGGGCATGAATAGCTTGCATTGGAAAAGGCTGCCCTTCCAGAAAACAATATATTTTCGGTGGCATCACAGCAACTAATAAGCTCTATTTAATAAAATTTTCGGTGGCATCACAGACCTAATAAGCTCTACTCAATACAGTTTTAGGTGGCATCACAGCATCTAATAAGCTCTATGTCAAATTGCAGATTTAGGGCATGCCATTTGACAACGACTATATATATATATATACCCACACATGGCTGTGTTTATCACGTGACTTGCTTATATGCATATTCAAAATAATTTTGATATCATGTACCCAATCTTCTGTATATATATATATACTGAGGTTGCTGGTCAAATCCACCAAAACCTAATCAACAAACAATCTTAATAGTCGCAAAACAATCGCGTAAGAGCTAGGACACTGCTGCAGGCCACAAATCTCAAACTTCCCTGACATAGTAAAATAGCCAGTACATTGCTACAGGCCACAAATCTCAGACTTCCCTAACATCGTAAAATAGCCAGGACATCGTCACAGGCCACAAATCTCAGACTTCCCTAGCATGGTAGAATAGCCAATACATTGGCACAGGCCACAATTCTCAGATTTCCCTAACATCGTAAAATAGCCAGTAAATTGCCACAGGCCACAATTCTCAGACTTCCTTAACATCGTAAAATAGCCAGGACATCGTCACAGGTCACAAACCTCAGACTTCCCTAACATCGTAAAATAGCCAGGACATCGCCACAGGCCACAAACCTCAGACTCATTTAACATCGTAAATAGCCAGGACATTGCCACAGGCCACAAACCTCAGTTTTCTCTAACATCGTAAAATAGCCAGGACATTGGCATAGGCCACAAACCTCAGACTTATTTAACATCGTAAATAGCCAGGACATTGGCACAGGCCACAAACCTCAGACTTATTTAACATCGTAAAATAGTCAGGACATCGCCACAGGCCGCAAACCTCAGACTTCCCTAATATCACATAACAACACATATTATCACTAAAGAAATGTAACTGGAACTGGTGTATTGTATATGTTAAAATATAATTATAATTTTACACATAAAAACAAACTAAGCCCATTTATTATAAATACATTTTAAAAAATGAGACGTACTTCACACATACATGAAATAAAAGTGATTTCCCAACTTCTGCTGTTATATTATTATTCGTTTTATTATTATTTATTTTCATTTCCTGTTGAGGGTTTTGATCATTTTAGCAATAATTTGTCTCAGCTTTGTCACTTTTTCTTTAGGTCTTGATAATTAAAAATAATATATCATAATATGTAATATTTGGTATGTGTCTTGATCTTTTAACAACATGTTTCAACTTTTTTAATCATTGTTTTAGGCTTGAATCACTTTAACTATAAACTATTTCTGATACTCTAATTAACTTAAACTTAAGACACGTTTAAAATAATGTAAATTTAATTTATGTAATACATATATGTCAGTTTATCTCCAGGCAACAACAATACATTTATAATGTCTATAAACAGCCAAGCGAACTTCAACCAAAGGAACAATAATATAATGTAACATACATGGTAGTTATCGGGGCTTATCAACAACAGCGTGTTCGTAGTCTCCAGATATAACCAAGAAGTTTCAATATTGTGTTAGAATCTACACAATAGCTAAGTAAGCTTATCCTGAAGACAACAACAGTATGTTCGTAGTCTCCAGATATAACCAAGAAGTTTCAATATTGTGTTAGACTCTACATAATAACTAAGTAAGCTTATCCTGAAGACAACAACAGTATATTCGTAGTCTCCAGATATAACCAACAAGTTTCAATATTGTGTTAGAATCTACATAATAGCTAAGTAAGCTTATCCCGATGACAACAACAGTATGTTCGTAGTCTCCAGATATAACCAAGAAGTTTCAATATTGTGTTAGAATCTACATAATAGCTAAGTAAGCTTATCCCGAAGACAACAACAGTATGTTTGTAGTCTAGAAATAACCAAATAAGTTTGAAACCAACGAAAAACAATGTGTTTAAATGTTCATGACTAGCCTTATGCTGTAGAGAACAACAAAATTTTCATCAACTTTATAGTAAACTAATGTATATTTTACGATAGAAACAACGGTATCTCTATCATCTCTACAGATAAATAAGCTTCCTTACTCGTCTTCAAAACAAGAAAGTAAATCTTATATTTGTCAGGCACTAATGAACTTACCTCCGCCATTCTTATAACAAAGATATGGAAATCTCCAGACGTTCCCAAGACCGATGGAGAACCCAATGCAAGACAACATAAACTCGGTCTTGTTCCCCCACTTTTCTCTCTCACGATATTCGGGCATTTTGAAAAATTAAACTTTTAAGAAATAAAACCAGAGTAGAAAACACCTTCTGAACACTGGTGATATTAAGAAATTATAACATGAAAACACCCCGTTATTCTGCAGAAAGTCGGTAATCCTAAGATTACGGCGATATTTAATAGGCGACAGCAGTGTTTTCCTGGAACTTTATTTTTATAAAGTGTAAATTGTTAAGAGGTTAATGCAAATGTCATCACATGTCGCATATTTATATTCAAAGCGATGATATCGTGACTAGAAGTATCCGGATTACTGGTGGGGTGTAGTGCACGTGCAGCTACTATATACTGTTTCATCACCAATTAGTTTATTTAAAGTACACGTACTATTTCTCACCAACATTCGATTCAGTTGACTCTCATGCAGGATACAAATATCTGCCTGCTTTCTCGTATAGAGATGCAGGATGTCCATCTAATCATGACATACACGTAGAGAAATATCTAACACTACTCTAACGAACTGTGGCTGTGAAATTAAAAAAAAAAAAGTTTATAACTGATGACTGTAAACGATGAAGTAATAGTAAGTGGGGTATTAGATGTGTATTCCGTATCGTTACAATATCAGTAAATATGGTAACATACACTGTACATGTTACACGGGCTAAATACGATATGGTAAAATACACAGTACATGTTACACAGGCAAAATACGGTATGGTAAAATACACAGTACATGTTACACAGACAAAATACGGTATGGTAAAATACACAGTACATGTTACACAGGCTAAATACGGTGTGGTAAAATACACAGTACATGTTACACAGGCAAAATACGGTATGGTAAAATACGCAGTAAATGTTACACAGACAAAATACGGTATGGTAAAATACACAGTACGTGTTACACAGGCAAAATACTGTATGGTAAAATACACAGTACATGTTATACAGGCTAAATACGGTATGGTAAAATACTCTGTACATGTTATACAGGCTAAATACGGTATGGTAAAATACTCTGTACATGTTATACAGGCTAAATACGGTATGGTAAAATACTCTGTACATGTTACATAGGCTCATTTCCAGCTACAAAGTTACTAGTGTTTCGAACTTTTATGAAATAACTGTTCAACTTAGTTATTCATGGAAATATTTTATTCACTCTATTAAATGAAAATTAAAGGTTAATATAGTGACGATCCCTGACTTACCAGCATTAGCCCTTGATAATGATGTTTCACACTAGGACAATACAGTAAGGATTCCTGAATTATCAGTATTAGTTCTTGACAATGTTGTTTTACAGTAGGATAATACAACAACTAACACTGAATTACAAGTGCTGGATCTGTATATTGCTGTTGGATAACATAATAATAGACCCCGAGTTACCAGTATTAGATCAGTGCAATAGTGTTTTACAGTAGGTTAATACAGTGACGATCCCTGAGTTACCAGTATTAGTCTTTATTTGAACTTTCATTTGAGTTATCATTGTATAAGTAATACATAAGAAGTTCTGTTTGTGTGAACCTTCATTTGAGTTATAGTTGTATAAGTAATACATATGAAGTTCTGTTTGTGTGAACCTTCATTTGAGTTATCATTGTATAAGTAATACATAAGAAGTTCTGTTTGTGTGAACCTTCATTTGAGTTATAGTTGTATAAGTAATACATAAGAAGTCCTGTTTGTATGAACCTTCATTTGAGTTATCGTTGTATAAGTAATACATAAGAAGCCCTGTTTGTGTGAACCTTCATTTGAGTTATCTTTGTATAAGTAATACATAAGAAGTCCTGTTTGTGTGAACCTTCATTTGAGTTATCGTTGTATAAGTAATGCATAACAAGCCCTATTTGTTTGAACCTTCATTTGAGTTATCATTGTATAAGTAATACATAAGAAGTCCTGTTTGTGTGAACCTTCATTTGAGTTATCGTTGTATAAGTAATGCATAAGAAGTCCTGTTTGTGTGAACCTTCATTT